GCTGGAGAATTTATTTTGGGTTGCTCTTTGGTGGTAGGTTATGGTCGTAAACAAGAAACACATAGCTAAATAAAAAAAAAAGGATTTTTGGCCAGTTTTCCTTTGATAATAAAAAAAAAAAAATCAGGAGATATCCATTACCATTTACCACCAAATGAAAGCCCAATTTGTCCTGAAAAAATCAAGGTATAATCCACCTGGATGTGCAAAGTAGTTGTGATATGTACGGTTTTGCCATCACATGAACGGTGCAGAATTGTGCTTAGGCCTTTAGATTTGTTTTACCCTTAGGCGTGAAGGGGTTAACATCTTCATTTTCAATATGAGACTAGCGTTCAAAAGAAAAAAAACAATCAACCGTCTGATCGTCTCATCGTGGGTACGGGGCTTTCGCTCGATCTGCTCTTTTGGAGGTGAAAGACCTTTTACATGAATGGATTTTACTGATATTTCACTATAGAGAAAGGAAATTCTCCTGGAGTCTGGTTTTTATATAACAATTTTGTACAGACGCTGAGATAAAAACTCGGCACAAGGAACAAAGATCTCCAATAAATACGTACAGCAAAGCACAGCGAGCCCGAGTCCACCGCTCTGATTGTCCATGTGTTTGTAAGGAATCTGTACTGGTCTCTATGAAGAGTGCTACATTTAATCCGCTTATAATTTTGCCTTCCTAGGTTTTATCTCCTCTCTCATCAACATGATAAAAACATGTTTAATAAACCCTTCTATTTTCATAACATACCTTTTTAGACCCAGTAACATCATGCTACTCTATGCAATGCAGGCAGATCATGGCTGGTGGGAGGAGCCAGCAGGGTCATGTGCATAGCACCCCACCCCAGTACTCCTCTCATGAGCCCTCAGCCCTGAAAAGCAGTGGGCTGGCCCTGGGGAGGAGGTATACAAATATCAAAATGTGGGTATCATTAATAGTGAGTGTTCTTAGGCAGGATTCATTTACATCAAGGGTCTCCAAACTATGGCCCTCCAGCTCCTGAAGTACTACAAGTCCCATCATGCCTCTGCCTCTGGGAGTCTCGCCTGTGTGACTGTCAGAGTCTTGCAAGGCCTCATGGGACTTGCAGTTCCTCAACACCCGGTGGGCCATAGTTTGGAGACCCCTGATTTACATAGATAACACTCACCTGATCCTCCATGATTGAAAAAACTGAAATCTAATGAAAGGGGCGGGACAGGGACATTCAGGCTGGGGAAGAAGGTGCTAGATCACGGGTGTCAAACTGGCGGCCCTCCAGCTGTTGCCAAACTACAAGTCCCATGAGGCAATGCAAGATTGACAGTTACAAGCATGACTCCCAAAGGCAGAGGCAGGATGGGACTTGTAGTTTCAAAACAGCGGGAGGGCCGCCAGTTTGACACCCCTGTGCTAGATGATGCTGGATGTTCTCCAGCAAGGAAATGAGGTGGAGCTCTGTCTCACTTGCTGCAGTTTCTAATGCACATTGTGAGGAGCTCACAGTGTGCAGTGAGATCAGAAGCAGTTGTTTCAGTCCGGGAGAGAAGCCGCTAAAACTGCAAGACTGGAGGGAAGCCCAGAGGTCAGATTTAGGGGAATATGTGATGTCCATGCAGTACCTAACCAGTTCCCACCCGATCCATGTATATAAACGGCTGGAGGGTGGCAGTGCAGGGGAGGGTTGCTGTTCATAAACGACGCCCACCATTTTGGACTGTGTGCTCTCCTGCTGTACATGACCTCTCTGTGAGGTCCAGATCATGTGATCACTGATTGGCCAATCAGTGATCACATGAAGAGTAGTAAGCAAGATGTAATTTCTGACATCATTGCTTACTACGTGTGAAATCTGAATGATCACAGAGATCACATGGTACAGGGCTATTCACAACAGCTTTATACCATGTGACAAGCTGTGACCAATCACAGCTCTCACAGTATTTCTCAATGGCTGCAAGAATGCCAGAGAGGAGAAATGATTGCTATTACAGCCTTTATGGGTATAAAAGCAATCAGTGTAAAAAAAAAAAATTCTTCATCACCCCCCACAAGTAGTAGTGTCACCATGGTGACGCTGTACTGCTAGGGTGACAGTATGCAAAAAAAAAAGTAACAAAAATGTTTTGAAAAATTATAATTTTTGGTTATAAACTAATTTGGGTTTTTATTTACTAAAAAGATAACCGAATAAATTTTGGCCAAGATTTATGAAGAAAGATTATTTATTTGCACAATGTTATAAGTAAAACACTTTCTTAAAATTTTTGGATATAGCAAAAAAAATAAAATAAAAATCCCAGCGGTGAATAAATACCACCAAAATAAAGTTTTATCTGTCTCAAAAAAATGCTAAAAAATGTCATATGGGTACAGTGTTGCATGACTGCGCAATTGTCATTCAAAGTGTGATAGTGCTGAAAGCTGAACATTGGCCTGGACTGGAAGGGGGGGGGGGGGGAAAGTGTCCGGACTGGAAGGGGGGTGAAAGTGTCCGGACTGGAAGGGGGGGGAAAGCGTCCGGACTGGAAGGGGGGGGAAAGCGTCCGGACTGGAAGGGGGGGGGAAAGCGTCCGGACTGGAAGGGGGGGGGAAAGCGTCCGGACTGGAAGGGGGGGGAAAGCGTCCGGACTGGAAGGGGGGGGAAAGCGTCCGGACTGGAAGGGGGGGGAAGCGTCCGGACTGGAAGGGGGGGGAAAGCGTCCGGACTGGAAGGGGGGGGAAAGCGTCCGGACTGGAAGGGGGGGGAAAGCGTCCGGACTGGAAGGGGGGGGAAAGCGTCCGGACTGGAAGGGGGGGGAAAAGCGTCCGGACTGGAAGGGGGGGGAAAGCGTCCGGACTGGAAGGGGGGGGAAAGCGTCCGGACTGGAAGGGGGGGGAAAGCGTCCGGACTGGAAGGGGGGGGAAAGCGTCCGGACTGGAAGGGGGGGAAAGCGTCCGGACTGGAAGGGGGGTGAAAGCGTCCGGACTGGAAGGGGGTGAAAGCGTCCGGACTGGAAGGGGGGTGAAAGCGTCCGGACTGGAAGGGGGGGGAAAGCGTCCGGACTGGAAGGGGGGGAAAGCGTCCGGACTGGAAGGGGGGTGAAAGTGTCCGGACTGGAAGGGGGTGTAAGTGTCCGGACTGGAAGGGGTTAAAACAATATTTTATTTTCCAGACACATGATTAATAAATACAGTTGCAGACCAGCAAAGATCTCATATTAACATCATTTCACGTTTTCATAGATAATAGTTCATCATACACATTCAGTTCACAAAAACTCATTTTTCCAAAATAAAAACCAGTAAAATATTTACAAAGTGTCTTATGCCCTGTAAACAAATGTGGAAGCCCGCTTCCTGGTATCCTGGTCATGTGACCCACAATCCTGCGCACTGATTGCATAGTCGGGGTCAGCTGTGTAGTTCGTCCACCCAGTGAGCCTGCAGAGGGAGGAAATGGTGACATTACCTGAACATACGTATTGCAGATTTTAGAGACATCGGTAAAAGGGAATATACATCTCTACTTTTTGGTCAGTGCCAATAAAAAATTGTTAAAAGTTTACAAAGTTTAACCACTTCCTCTCCAGCCGCTGTATATAAACGGCCGGAGGGTGGCAGTTCAGGGGTGTGTTGCTGTTCATAAACGGCACCCGCCATTTTGGACTGTGTGTGCTCCCTGGGAGCGCACGGCACTGCGATCCGATGCTCTGTGTGATGTCCCGATCATGTGATCGCTGATTGGCCAATCAGTGATCACATGAATAGGTGTAAGCAAGATGTCACTTCTGACATCATTGCTTACTACGTGTGAAATCTGTAAATGATCACAGAGATCACATGGTACAGAGCTATTCACAACAGCCTTGTACAATGTGACAAGCTGTGACCAATCACAGCTCTCACAGTATTTCTCAATGGCTGCAAGAATGCAGCCAGAGAGAGAGGAGAAAGGATTGCTTTTACAGCCTTTATGGGTGTAAAAGCAATCAGTGTAAAAAAAAAAAAAAATCTTCATCACCCCCTGCAAGTAGTACAGTGTCAGTATGGTGACACTGTACTGCTAGGGTGACAGTATGTAAAAAAAAAAAAAAAAAAAAAAAAAAATAAAAAATGTAAAAAAAATTTTTTTTAAAAATTATAATTTTTGGTTATAAACTAATTTGGGTTATTTTTTATTTTATTAAAAAGATAACCGAATACATTTTTGCCAAAAAAATAAAATGGCAAAAGCTAAAAACAGTAGCTGTAAAAACATCCTGTGTGCATGAGGACTCAGCCTAATTGAACAAGCTGAAGCTAGAAGCTGATTGGTTCCCATGCACAGCTGCACTGGATTCTGAGTGCTCCAGTGTAATGCAGGCCATACATGGTTCGAATTCCGAACGATTTTTCTACCGAAAATCGGAAACGTTCGCTTGGTAATCCGATGGCGCCATCATTGATTTAGAAAATTGGCCGACCGAGTCAAAGTTCACCCCATATAACAGGTGAAACTTCTGTCCCTTCCAGGTCACGGCTCATGGCGCATATTCTTTTCGGAAAAAAACGATCGTACGTTTTGACCGTCATTGAGTTGAAAATCGGTCGTTTTTCACAAATTTTTCCAACATGCCCAATCACCGAAAAGGGGAGGAACCACGAAAATCAGCCGATGCCATTGACCCCACTAACAGAGCGAAAATCGGCCGATTATTCTTAGGTCCGATTTTCGGACCTAAAAAAAAAAAAAAAACGGTTGATTTTCGATCCATGTATGGCCGGCCTTAGTAAAATCAACCCCTTTGTGTACCTTAGACTGATCTAGAACCAGCTCAGAGTAAGGCCTGGTTCACACCAACGCAGTTTGCTTTTGATCCGTTTTTTGCATTTCGCTTTGCGTTTTTACACACGTGTTTTGCTTTTTTTTTTGTAAAAGGGAAATGTTTTTGTTGCTGGGCAGAATAAAAACATAAAACGTGGCAAAAACATACTACATGCGTTCCATTGAGATGCCAAAAAAACGAATTGATGTGATCCAGGCCTTCCAGGACAGACCTCAATATTTGTGTACCTGGGAATTTGAAACTTCCTCCAGATCTCCATAGCAGCCTTTCTTGTGTCGGATCAGATCCCCCCACAGCACAGAATTTCCACAACTGGAAGACAAACACAAAGAGTTCAGATTAAAAAAAAAAAAAAAAATGTCTGCCACTTGTCCATTGTTCAGAGCCCGGGAACGCGGGAGGTGCAGCTCACAGGGTCCAGCGCTGGAAATATTAGTGGGCAGTTGCTGTGTAAATGTAGCAACAGCTAATGCTATGAAAAAGGCTATAAAACATTATAAACATTGCTCAGATGCAAGCTAGGGAACAAAGTAAACATTGTTCAGGCAGAGCAACAGGTGGAAGCCCTTTCCGCCCCTCTGAAAAGTAATCTATGGTGGATCGCTTTTCAGAGGGCGGTAGAGCAGCCGCTGCCAAGCTTTCTGGAGTGATAATGCTGCCTCCTAAATGCCTTTTTTGAATATGAATTCTGATTGTAAATGCCGCACAGCAACTGGGAGGCGGACGTTTGGCTCGCAGTTACGGAACAGCCCCATTCACCTGAATGGGTCGCTTTGGCAGGGGTACTATTGTTGCTTCTTGTTATGTGTCGTTTGCTGCTATTTAACCCTTAGGCCCGTCACATGGGGCGGACTCTGCTTGCTGAGGGGGGAACATGTCTGCCGATCCCCCACTGAGCAGAGCAGAGCGGGTGGATCACTGGTCCTCATATGCTGGAAACTGACCCATAACAGGAATATAGAAGTGGCTGTGGTCTCTGGGCGTTGTACAAGCGTGAGATCTGAACTGGATAGAAGGGGTTAGAAGCAGGGGGGGACTGACCATTTAGAAACTCAGGCACTGCCCGAGGGCCCGGGGTCAGTAGGGGGCCCCATGAGATGTCCCTGGTACCTTTTTTGAGTGTGGGCAAGGACACGGGCCCCATGATCCCCTATTGCCCAGGGGCCCCATGAGTTGTCAGTCCGCCCCTGGTTAGAAGAGTTTTCCGCACCTTGGACACGGACCCTCCACGGGGAGAAGCTGTTGTGGCTGTTTCAGGAGGAAGAGTTTAGCCAGACAAATGATATGTGCGGTCAGAGTGCAGCCGGGATGGAAGCAGCGCAGGGCGTCCTCTTCACTCTGTACAGGAGACAAAGCTCAGTGGTAATGACAAGGACTTCCAGTGCGGTCTCCTACAGCAACACTGATCTGGGATTGAAGATCCAATCAGAGGAGAATCCATCCAATCAGGACACGGCCCTGTGCACTCCTTGCTCCTAGTGCTGCTTTGCTGAATAATAGAGAGGAATGATAGGAATAAGGCTCAGTTCACACTAGCTTTGTCAGCAGGCATCAGACAGGCATTTGGGAAGCGATTTTTTTCAATAAAAATTCAGCACATGGCAGCACACAGCGCTGTTCACACTGAAGCGTTAGCGTCGCGGCAAAACTGACGCCTCGTGTGGAGTCAGGAGGAGTTGAAGCCTCCCATTCAAGTCTATGGTGCCACTCCTGGCAGGTGCTCGCAGTGCGGTTGCAGAGCGTTAATACCATTTAACCACTTCCCGTCTGGCTGTTGTATATAAATGGCCGGACATTGGCAGTGCAGGGGAGGGTGTCTGTTTATAAACGGCCTCCCCGCACCCTGCTTGTGTGCGCTCCCTGGGAACACACAGCACCGCGATCCGGTGCCCACTGTGTCCTCCGGAAACAGTGGAATACCGATCATTGTACGGGACCTCTGTGTGAGGTCCCAATCATGTGATCACTGATTGGCCAATCAGTGATCACATGCAGAGCAGTAAGCAAGATGTCACTTCTGACATCATTGCTTACTATGTGTGAAATCTGTGAATGATCACCGAGATCACATGGTACAGGGCTATTCACAACAGCCTTGTACCATGTGACAAGCTGTGACCAATCACAGCTCACACAGTATTTCTCAATGGCTGCAAGAATGCAACCAGAGAGAAGGAGAAATTATTGCTTTTACAGCCTTTATGGGTGTAAAAGCAATCAGTGTAAAAATATAAAAAAAATCTTAATCAGCCCCCACAAGTAGTACAGTGTCACCATGGTGACTCTGTACTGCTAGGGTGACAGTATGTAAAAAAAACAAAAACGTAAAAAAATTTTTTTAAAAAAAATATAATTTTTGGTTATAAACTAATTTGGGTTATTTTTTATTTTATCAAAAAGATAACTTAATAAATTTTGGCCAAAATTGATGATGAAATATTTTCAAAATTATAAAATTATTATTAATTAAAACACTATTATAAAATAAAACACTTTTTTTACAAAATTTTTGGACTTTTTCATTTATATAGCAAGAATAATAATCCCAGTGGAGAATAAATACCACCAAAATAAAGCTTTATCTGTCTCAAAAAAAATGCTAAAAAATTCATATGGGTACAGTGTTGCATGACCGCACAATTGTCACTCAAATTGTGACAACGCTGAAAGCTGAAAATTGGCCTGGGGGGGAAAGTGTCCGGACCGGAAAGGGGGGGAAAGTGTCGGGACTGGAAGAGGTTAACGTCATTATAGGCGTTTGTGGTGCAGTTTTAATGCCTATCAACCTCCTCAAAACCGCGCAGAGAGCGTTAAAAACGCTTCCCAAACGCCTGTCAAACGCTATAGGGGCATTTGGCAAGAGTAAGAAAAAAAGTCAAGTGTGAACGAGCCCTGAGACACCCAAATATGACCGGCTGCCGGTTCACAGGGACTTACCTGCACTTTATCGTAGCACACCCGGCATCGCTGTGGTGGGGGTAGCTGAGCAGTCCCTTCCCCCCCTTGGCCCTTCTCTCCTTGTGTTTTAGAGATGGGACGTGCCCTCACCTGCCCAAAAGCCATGGGCATGTGAAGAGGAGGCTGGAGCAGAGGGGGCAGCTCCCTATGGTACTCCTGTCGCAGCCAACGCAGGGTGAGTGGTAGGCGATTCCACGGGGCCACACGAAGCATGTGATAGAGGACCGTCAGGTGGAAGTCAAAACTGGACTGTTTCTTTGTCTTACGTGGCACGTGGGTCAGCCTGCGGGACACGTGGGGGTGCTGCCATGCCCACTCAAACTAGAAGGAGAAAGACAGAGAATGAGCTGATTGCGGACCACAGTGTGCACTCCACTCCCGTGCTCCGCTGCTACACCCCGCTCCCGCGCTCCACTCCTGCGCTCCACACCCGCGCTCCACTCCGGCGCACTAAATGTTATCTTGTACTGACTGGTAAAGGACGGGACTACCAATGGGAATAATCAAATTGTTTCATCGACTACAGCAGCGGTCTCCAAACTGTGGCCCAGGGGCCAGATGCGGCCCTTTGCTTGCCATTTTCAAGCCCTTGGGAAACTATTTCTCTCACTGACATTACCAATGGGGCATAGTTCCTGGCACTGACACCAAAAGATAAGACACCATTCCTCCCACTGACACCAATGATGGGGCACTATTCCTCCCACTGATACCAATGATGGGGCACTATACCTCCCACTGATACCAATGATGGGGCACTATACCTCCCACTGATACCAATGATGGGGCACTATTCCTCCCACTGACACCAATGATGGGGCACTATTCCTCCCACTGATACCAATGATGGGGCACTATTCCTCCCACTGATACCAATGATGGGGCACTATTCCTCCCACTGACACCAATGATGGGGCACTATTCCTCCCACTGACACCAATGATGGGGCACTATTCCTCCCACTGATACCAATGATGAGACACTATTCCTCCCACTGACACCAATGATGAGGCACTATTCCTCCCACTGACACCAATGATGGGGCACTATTCCTCCCACTGACACCAATGATGGGGCACTATTCCTCATACTGACACCAATGATGGGGCACTATTCCTCCCACTGACACCAATGATGGGACACTATTCCTCCCACTGATACCAATGATGGGGCACTATTCCTCCCACTGATACCAATGATGGGGCACTATTCCTCCCACTGATACCAATGATGGGGCACTATTCCTCCCACTGACACCAATGATGGGACACTATTCCTCCCACTGATACCAATGATGGGGCACTATTCCTCCCACTGACACCAATGATGGGACACTATTCCTCATACTGACACCAATGATGGGGCACTATTCCTCCCACTGACACCAATGATGGGACACTATTCCTCCCACTGATACCAATGATGGGGCACTATTCCTCCCACTGACACCAATGATGGGGCACTATTCCTCCCACTGACACCAATGATGGGGCACTATTCCTCCCACTGACACCAATGATGGGACACTATTACTCCCACTGACACCAATGATGGGACACTATTCCTCCCACTGATACCAATGATGGGGCACTATTCCTCCCACTGACACCAATGATGGGGCACTATTCCTCCCACTGACACCAATGATGGGGCACTATTCCTCCCACTGACACCAATGATGGGGCACTATTCCTCCCACTGACACCAATGATGGGGCACTATTCCTCCCACTGATACCAATGATGGGGCACTATTCCTCCCACTGACACCAATGATGGGGCACTATTCCTCCCACTGATACCAATGATGGGGCACTATTCCTCCCACTGACACCAATGATGGGGCACTATTCCTCCCACTGACCCCAATGATGGGACACTATTCCTCCCACTGACACCAATGATGGGGCACTATTCCTCCCACTGATACCAATGATGGGGCACTATTCCTCCCACTGACACCAATGATGGGGCACTATTCCTCCCACTGATACCAATGATGGGGCACTATTCCTCCCACTGATACCAATGATGGGGCACTATTCCTCCCACTGACACCAATGATGGGACACTATTCCTCCCACTGATACCAATGATGGGACACTATTCCTCCCACTGATACCAATGATGGGGCACTATTCCTCCCACTGACACCAACAATGAGTCTAGGTGAAATGTATCTGTGGAAAGATTTTAGCAAATACTACGAAATCCTCCAAATGAAAATAAGCGCTCCATGCAAGGCCCGATTCACACCTCTGCAGGTTGTGTTTGAGCTGTTTTTGCACCTGCGTGTTTAAAGCATTTTTATGCGTTTTTTTTTATTTGTTTCTATTTTTCTTGTTGCTAGGCAGATTTAAAAACGCATCAAAACGCGGCAAAAACACAGTACATTCTTTTTTGCAACGTTTCCATTGAAGTATATAGAACCAAAAAAACGCAACTTTTTGCATTCAAAAAAAGTCCGACCCTTTCCAAAAAACGCAGCGGGTGAAAACGCGGAGATGTGAACGTGTCCCGTAGGAAATCATGGTAAATGGACTGGACTGCGTTTCTGCAAATCACTGTGGAAAACGCTGCGGTGTGAACCCGGGGTTAGGCTACAGTCACACCAGCGACTAGAATCCTCTATTTACAGCTGCAGATAGGCGTGGCTCGGTGCAGCTGCCGGCCCCGTTCATCATGGCAGCTCACTGGCGGCTGCAGCTATTCTCGGCTCCCCGCACAGCCAGCGATCGCTGCTGAATGCAACACTTTTATGTAATGTTACAGCAATGTTTTTTTTTTCTATTTTATAATAAACATACTTTATTTTAAAGTGGTTGTAAAGACTGAACTTTTTTTTTTTTACCTTCAAGCATTCTATTAATCTTCTGCATAGAGGATTTTTGATCCCGCCTTCTCTGATCCTCCCCTTCTTCCACAGTCCCCAATCCATCTGCTGATAGAACAGAACCCTGGAGGGCAAACTGCACATGCTCAGTTTGCTGTTTATTGCTAGAGAGTTATTTGGGAGAGTGCATGTGATCAGCACAGAGCCAATCAGCACTGTCCAGACTAGAGGGTCAGGGGTCCTGCAGCTTCATAGGACAATAGGGGAGAATGAAAACTCCTCCTACAAGCTTTAACCAGTGTTCAGCTGGACACTGTTAGCAGTCACAAGACCATTAGACCCCCCTTCATCTTTCCTTTGGGCTCCAATGCAGCCGATCAGATACAGATCATTCTGATCTGCTTTCTTGGGAGAGTGCATGTGACTATCAGACCCCCCCAGTGGCGGACTGACAACTCATGGGGCCCCTGTGTCCTTGCCCAAACTCAAAAAAAAGCCTATGAAAAAGGTACCAGGGGCATTTCATGGGGCCCCCTACTGACCCCGGGCCCTCGGGCAGTGCCCGAGTTTCCAAATGGTCAGTCCCCTTCTGGCCCCCCCCATTTTTCCTTTGGGCTCCAATGCAGCTGATCAGACATGGATCATTCTGATCTGCTTTCTTGTGAGAGTGCATGTGATCAGCACAGAGCCAATCAGCACTGTCCAAACAAAGGGTCAGGGGTCCTGCAACCTCAAAGGACAATCGGGAGAATGAAAACTCCTCCTACAAGCTTCAACCAATGCTCAGCTGGACACTGATAGAAGCCAAAAGACTATTAGACCTCCCCCCTCTCATCTTTCCTTTGGGCTCCAATGCAGCTGATCAGACAAAGATCATTCTGATCTGCTGCTTCACTGGCCAGTAAACAAAGAGATGGAACCAGAAGTGACATAATCATTGTGGCATCCAGTTTCTGAAGTCACACAGTGGGAGGAACAATTTCAGTTCCTCTCACTGTGGGCCGGGCTTTGGACCCGGCCGGTCGCAGCCTTTTTGGGCTCCCTGGTTGTTCAGAAGAGCCCGGTATACGTGGCGGCCCGTAAAAGTAATCCAGAGGCTGCTTAGCCGCTCAGATTACTTTTACATTAAAGAGAATCACCAGAGCTTTAAAAATGATACCGCGATCGGAACACGACTGCAGCCTCACCCATGACCCCCACTTCCTTCCAAGGCTGGATATTTACATACGATGGTCGGGAAGTGGTTACTTCTGTTAACATCATTTTTCAATATTCAGATAAAAAAAACAGAACTTTAAACTTCTTCATGCCGGCCGAACGCAAATGTGCAGCCTCCTGGTGTCTGGGCCTAGACGCCAAGCGGCCGCACATTTGCGTTCTATTAAAAAAGAACATATGTGCTGAGAGCACGCACCCTGCGCGCTCCCAGCACACATGTCCGGTACTCACGGAAAGGTCCCGATCTCCTCTTTTGATCGGGACATTTCCCGATCATGTGACCGCCGCGACGGCGTGTCACATGACCCTAAACCCCGCCTCCCGGCCGGGAGGCGTCGGCATGAAGAGGGTTAATAAAAGTAGGAGGAAGTAACACATTGTATCTTACCCTCAGGGCTGCAATATCATTGGGGAAACCATGAACAATCAGGACCATGTCCCTGTATGGGGAGAATGAAATGAAAGGTTAGGACATACATATGAAAAGTCTTCACACCCCTAATAAAATTACAGGATTCTGAGATGTAAAAAAAAAAATGAGACAAAGATAAATCATTTCAGAACTTTTTCCACCTTTCAATGTGACCTACAAACTGAACAACAATGGGCAGCACAGTGGCTAAATGGTTGGCACTCCCGCCTAGCAGTACTCGGGTCGTTGGCTGTAATCCCATCCGCGGCACCACCTGCCTGGAGTTTGCATGTTCTCCCTGTGCCTGTGTGGGTTTCCTCCGGGTACTCCCTAGTATGTGTATGTACAAATGTGGGACCTTAGATTGTACGCCCCGTGAGGGTTAGGTACTGATGTGAATGTACAATATATAAATGTAACCTGACGGCGCTACATAAGTGCCTGAAATAAATAAACTGAAGCATTTTAGGTGGAGGGAAGTAAAAATGAAAAAACCTAAAATAATTTGGTTGCATAAGTGTTCACACCCTAATACTAATCCTTTGTTGAAGCCCCTTTTGATGTGATTCCAGCACTCAATCTTTTTGGGGAGGAGTCGATCAGCATGGCATAACCTGACTTTGCCCGCTCTTCCTTGCAAAAACACTCCAAATCTGTCAGATTGTGTGTCATCTCCTGCACACAGCCCTCTTCAGATCACCCCACAGATTTTCCATCGGATTCAGGTCTGGGCTGAATGACGAATTCTTGTCACACATTTACCTTTGAAAGCTTGCCTGCAACACCCTGCCCACCCCTTTCCACCCCCCCCCCCCCCCCCCAACATTCTTAATAACCCACAACTGTGATGGGCTGCCTCCTTGACCAATAGGAATGTGTGTGAGGAGGGAGGAGCTAGGTAAGCTTTTTTATCACAAGGGGTGCGCCAGAGTTCTGCCGGTTGCAGATTGGCTAGTGTGATTATGGCGGTCACATGACCCTAAACCCCGCCCCGCCTCCTGAAACCCTTAAAGGGCCGGGAGGCGCCGGCGTGAAGGGGTTATCACCCAATATGCCCCTCCCCATTCTAAATCCTCGAGTCCTTGAGATGGATCACCCACCACCCAGCATGCTGATGCTTTGTCCTCCTTACCAGGGCCCTCTTCCACTCGTCTTCCAGGCTCCACCTTTGTGCTTGCCCCCATTGTGTTGCTGGATGCGCCTCTCTGGGTTCACCGTGAAGCCGATGTAGACGCGCCCTTTGTATTTTGGGTTGGTGCAATATAAGAGGTAGACACCATAGAAGCTCTCCACCTCCACCACCATCCTCTCCGCTCGTCAGGAAATCCCCAAGATGGAGCAGCAGCACGATGTGTTCCTGTACTCGGACCAGAGACAACACAGGAAGGAGTTAGACCAATGAAACAATATGTCCGTGACACCGGCTCCCCCTCCCGGCTGCTTCTGTGCTCCCCCTATGCCCCAGCCACCAGTAACATCCAAATGGAGAAAAGGACAGTCACACTGTTAAAATTCAGTGCAGCTGTAACTTTATTGTTCTGGACAAACAGACACAAAGGGTGAGGGCCGTTCTGCTCTGGACTGTGTGTCTGCTTGTCCAGAACAATAAAGTTACAGGGGTTGGACAAAAATATGGAAACACTACATGATTTGCAGGTGTGAAAGTGATGATGTGTTCACGTTGATGTAACATTGTTTCTGCTGTGTGATGAGACACCTAGCTAACAGGTGGGAAGCCTCACTTTCGTCATTCTAGTAATATGGAGTCACGTCAGAGCTTGCTGAGGGTAAATTGTTGGTGCCGCCTAGCTGGCGTCTCTGTGGCTGAAGCTGACATGTCAGAGGTTATGGCGGCAAATACAGTTTCCGGGAAAACATAAGCGTGGTCGCCATGGTCAACCGACCACAGGACATTGCGCAGGATTGTAACCTGGAAAAAAAAAACAACCACTGCAAAAGTGACTGCAGAGCTTAATCTCAGTGCAGAGCTCAATCTCAGTGCAGAGCTCAATCTCAGTCTTCACAGGATCGGTCAGAAAGAGGGGGGTGGGAATGGAGAAATGTGTTAACCCGTCAATGTGACACCAAATATAAAAGGAGGCGGCTCAGCAGATCTGTATTTGGGGAGAGCGGTCTGCAGGCGAGCTCCTGTCTCAGCAAATTCTTTACTTTCCTTTAATCCCCAATGCAATGTCAGCCTCAGTACTTGTATGGGGACTTCTCTAGTACGGTCATCTGCAGCCTTGGCGCTCCCCACCCACCGGCTGTGGTGAACCTGCCTGTTGGAACATGTAGCAAACCAGTGATATATAATATACGAGGGGCATTCACATCAAACTGGGACTTCTGAGGTTATAGAATAAAAGAACAAGTTTCAAGGAGGGAAACAATTTATTTTTCAACATCCTCCCCTGCTACATTTATACACCTATCTCAGTGTGTAACTAATGCCTGGAAAGCTTCGGCACAGAAAGATTTGTCACTAAGTCTGAACCATCCTAGGACGGCCGGCTTCACTCTGACATCATTGTGTTCACCGTTCCCACAGAAAGATCGGTCTCTTCGATTCCAGGACAGGTTCTGCGTCGATGATCCAGGATCCGGCAATCCTCGCGCTGAATGTTCACAGGAATGACTGCTGTGGGCTGGGAACCACCACGGCCGGGATCCTCACTGAGGGACGGCCATCTTGGAAACGTTTCCACCATTCAGATGTCTTACTGCAGCTGAGCGTCTCATCACCGCACTGCGCCTGACGTCTTCTGGAGATACTGGCGGGTTTTACGCCTTCATTCACCAGAAACGTCATCACCCCACGCTGTTCCAGGAACTTACTAAGATGGCTGTCTGCCATCCTGATTAATGGTCTGTGGACTGACCCAAGGCATGTGTGCCCCCTATCAGCAATAGTACCTCCCCCATCCCCTCCTCCTGCATTCCCTCCTCCCCGCCTCCATTCTCCCGTTCCTTCCTCCCCTCCTCCATTCTCCCGTTCCTTCCTCCCCTCCTCCATTCTCCCGTTCCTTCCTCCCCTCCTCCATTCTCCCGTTCCCTCCTCCCATCCTTCATCCCCTCTTCCATTCTCCCAGTCCCCTCCTCCATTCTCCCATCCTTCGTCGCCTCTTCCATTCTCCCGTCCTTGGTCCCCTCCTCCATTCTCCCATCCTTCATCTCCTCTTCCATTCCCCCATCCCCTCTTCCATCCTTTGTCCCCTCCTCCATTCTCCCATTCTTTGTCTCCTCTTCCATTCTCTTGTCCCCTCCTCCATTCTCCTGTCCTTCATCTCCCCTTCCATTCTCCCATCCCCTCCTCCATTCTCCCGTCCTTTGTCCCCTCCTCCATTCTTCCATCCTTCGTCCCCTCCTCCATTCTCCCGTCCTTCGTCCCCTCCTCCATTCTCCCATCCCCCTCCATCTCTCCCATCCCCTCCTCCATTCTCCCGTCCTTCGTCCCTCCTCCATTCTCCCGTCCCCCTCCTCCATTCTCCCGTCCCTCGTCCCCTCCTCCATTCTCCCTTCCCTCCCTCCCCTCCTCCATTCTCCCGTCCCTCGTCCCCTCCCATCCATTCTCTCCGTCCCCTCTCTCCATTCTCTCGTCCCTCATCCCCTCTTCCATTCTTCCCCGTCCCCTCTCCCATTCTCCTCGTCCCTCTTCACCTCTTCCTTCTCCCGTCCCCCGTCCTCCTCCATTCTCCCGTCCCTTGTCCCCCTCTCTCCATTCTCCTGTCCCTCCTCCATTCTCCCTCCCCTCCTCCCCTCTCTTCTCATTCTCTCCTCCCCTCCCCCATTCTCCCCCGTCCCCCTCCTCCTTTCCCCCTCTCCCTCCTCCTTCTCCCGTCCCTCCTCCCCTCTTCCCTTCTCCCATCCTCCTCCCCTCTTCCATTCTCCCATCCCTCCTCCCCTCCTCCATTCCCCCGTCCCCTCCTCCTTCTCCCGTCCCCTCCTCCATTCTCCCGTCCCCTCCTCCATCCCCCCTCCCCTCTTCCATCTTCCATTCTCCCGTCCTCTCCTCCATCCCTCGTCCCCTCTTCCATTCTCCCGTTCCCTCCTCCATCCCTCGTCCCCTCTTCCATTTCTCCCGTCCCTTCTTCCCCTCCTCCATCCCTCGTCCCCTCTTCCATTCTCCCGTCCCCTCCTCCATCCCTCGTCCCTCGTCCCCTTCCATTCTCCCCATCCCTCGTCCCCTCTTCCATCCCCCTCCCCTCTTCCATTCTCCCGTCCCCTCCTCCATCCCTCGTCCCCTCTTCCATTCTCCCATCCCTCGTCCCTTCTTCCATTCTCCTGTCCCCTCCACTTACTACTGCGTGTAGTACTGCCATGCTAGCATCCCTTTTTAAACCTGGAAAATGAAAAGTTTGACTTGAACGCCCCTATAATATAATATTCCACTAACCAGCTGCCAGTCTGTCTTGCCCTTCTTCCGCCTTTAGTACGTCACTTCCTGTTTACATCCAATTTCGTCGCTTCCCTAACAACTGGGTTGACCACTTATACGCCTGATAGATTCTTCTCCATCCACCGAGAGATTTAAAGCAAAAATAATCAGCGCTTCATCTGAATAAATATATAATTCTTCATATCGGTTTAAAGACCGGAATCTTGCTCAACGGAACCCGGAGTAAAAGATTATTAGTATCAGGCGGATCAAGGACATCTCAGGGACTGGAGGGACTTCACTACTTTCCAACTTTGAATGGGTAGATTCATACTAGTCCCCGCCCTGCCTTGGGCAGAGTGCGATTGCTATTGGTCCAGACAAGTGTCGGACTCACGCACACGTCGGTACGGCCAATGATGAGGCTGGAGGTGTGGCAGGGCGCGCAGGCGCAGTAGTGTAGCAGGTTGCCGGTATCATGGCTGGTGAAGGAGCTGTGAGCGCTGAGGCTCTGAAGGTGTACTCCATACAACCTTCAACGGGAACTGCAGGCTGAACACGTGGTAAGCACAGCTGACGTCACCAGTCTCTGGAAGAGAAACTCCCATTTTGTAGTCTCCCTTCTCCATTCTTCTCCTCCTTTCCTTCATCCCCTCCTCCATTTCCCCTTCCCCTCCTCCATTTCCCCTTCTTCCCTCCTCCATTCCCCCTTCCCCTCCTCCATTTTCCCTAGTCCCCTCCTCCATTCCCCGTCCTTCGTCCCCTCCTCCATTTCCCCTTACCCTAGTCCCCTCTCCATTCCCCCATTCTTTGTCCCCTCCTCTATTCCCCCTTCCCCTCCTCCTTCATCGTCCCCTCCTCCATTTCCCCTTCCCCTAGTCCCCTCCTCCATTCCCCCTTTCTTTGTCCCCTCCTCCATTTCCCCGTCCCCCCCTCCTTCATTTTCCCCTTCCCCTCCTCCATTTCATCGTCCCCCCTCCTCCATTTCCCCTTCCCCTCCTCCATTTCCCCTTCCCCTCCTCCATTTCATCGTCCCCTCCTCCATTTCATCGTCCCCTCCTCCATTTCCCCTTCCCCTCCTCCATTTCCCCCGTCCCCTCCTCCATTTCATCGTCCCCTTCACCTCCATTTCCCCTTTCCCTCATCCCCTCCTCCATTCCCCCGTTCTTTGTTCCCTCCTCCATTCCCCCCGTCCCCTCCTCCATTTCCCCTTCGTCCCCTCCTCCATTCCCCCTTCCCCTCGTCCCCTCCTCCATTCCCCCGTCCCCTCCTCCATTTCCCCGTCCCCTCCTTTCCCCCTCGTCCCCCCTCCTTTCCCGCCTCCATTTCCGCTTCTCCATTCCCCTCCTCCACTCAACCCGTCCTTTGTACCTTCCTCCATTCCCCCATCCTTCATCCTGTCCTCCGTTCCCTCCCTCGTCCCCTCCTCCATTCCCCTTCTCCGTTACCCCTTTCCCACGTCCCTTCCTCCATTCCCCCTTCCCCTCCTCCATTTCCCCTTCTCCACTCAACCCGTCCTTTGTTCCCCCCTCCATTCATCCTTCGTCCCGTCCTCCTTTCCCTCATCCATTCTCCCTCCTCCATTTCCCCCTTCCCCTCCTCCATTCTTCCTTCGTCTCCTCTATTCCCCCCTCCTCATCCCTTCCTCCATTCCCCCCTTCTCTTCCTCCCCGTCTTATCGCAGGGTAGGGGGTTCTGGGAGGACATCATATGAGGACCGCACTGTTCAGTTGTAGCGCACTCCGCAGGTGGTTACACCCAGAATCAAACATTATATAGCAGCCTATAACTCTTACATGTGATGGCTGCATTAGTTTTCTTTTTAATATTTTCACTTGGTGATGCGGCCAATAAGTCTTTTATTTTTCAGCAGCACCGCCACCAGTGGTAAACGGATTGTCTCAACCTCTAACTGCTACATCTGCTGGAGAAGCAGATGTAGCAGTTAGAGGTTGAGACAATCCATTCACCACTGGTGGCGGTGCTTACAGTGATCCGTTTTCATTTATTTAAAATTCTTAACTCAAATGGGAAAAAAAGAAACAGTTTTGGGTTTTAATTCGGCTTTAAAATTGTCTGCAGCCAGAGATAGCCCCATCCGGAGTCATAGGACGGAGCCGCCATTGGGACCAGCGCCCCCTAGTGTCACCGGAGGGAGCGCTGTCCTGTTCTCTCAGGCCACACATGCGCAGCGTGCTCTCTGTCCGGCCGCTGAGCTCAGCATAGACGAGGTGGAAATGATCTCCGGCTCATCCGGAGCCCAACTACCTTGCCTGTCCTGGGCTGACCCAGAGCGAACAGCCCCACCCCCAAGTGACAGTTGGCTGCTTAGGGGTTGAGCGCTGCATTGTGGGAAGAAGGAGGGGGGGGCAATCGGGAGAGCCTGTCAGTCTGCCCTGAATGCACAAAGTGACAGACTTACTGAAACTTGTACTGTTCTTCCACTTAGGACTGGAGTAGGTTAGGCTGCAGTGACCGTTTAATGTCGGAAGGGTGGGGGGGGGGGGGTGGAGGTACCAGAGGACTACAAGTCCCAGCACCTCTTCTGTAAGTCTCTTCTGGATTCTGTGGGGAAGGGGGGGGGCGGAGGTACCAGAGGACTACAACTCCCAGCACCTCTTCTGTAAGTCTCTTCTGGATTCTGTGGGGAAGGGGGGGGGGGGGCGGAGGTACCAGAGGACTACAAGTCCCAGCACCTCTTCTGTAAGTCTCTTCTGGATTCTGTGGGGAAGGGGGGGGGCGGAGGTACCAGAGGACTACAACTCCCAGCACCTCTTCTGTAAGTCTCTTCTGGATTCTGTGGGGAAGGGGGGGGGCGGAGGTACCAGAGGACTACAAGTCCCAGCACCTCTTCTGTAAGTCTCTTCTGGATTCTGTGGGGAAGGGGGGGGGGGAGGTACCAGAGCACTACAAGTCCTAGCACCTCTCCTGTAAGTTGCTGCTGGATTCCTTGGGGAAGGGGGGGGGTGGAGGTACCAGAGGACTACAAGTCCCAGCACCTCTTCTGTAAGTTGCTGCTGGATTCCGAGGGGAGGGGGGTACCAGAGGACTACAAGTCCTGGGGCTAACCCAGAGCTAACAGCCCCAAGTGACTGTTGGCTGCTCAGGGGTTGAGCGCTGCATTGTGGGAGGAAGGAGGGCGGGGCAATCGGGAGAGCCTGTCAGTCTGCCCTGAATGCACAAAGTGACAGACTTACTTAAATTTGTACTGTCCTTCCACTTAGGACTGGAGTAGGTTAATGTGGAGTGACCAATTAACGTTGGAAGGGTGGAGGTACCAGAGGACTACAAGTCCCAGCACCTCTTCTGTAAGTCGCTGCTGGTTTCTGTGGGGAAGGGGGGTGGGGGGGGATGGAGGTACCAGATGACTACAAGTCCCAGCACCACTTCTGTAAGTTGCTGCTGGATTCTGTGGGGAGGGGGGGGGGTGGAGGTACCAAAGGACTACAAGTCCCAGCACCTCTTCTGTAAGTTACTGCAGGACTCCTTGAGGAAGGGGGTGGGGGAATGGAGGTACCAGAGGACTACAAGTCTCATCACCTCTTCTGTAACTCACTGCTGGACTCTACAAGGGGGATGGGGGAGGGCATGTATCATAGGACTACAAGTCCCATCACCTCCTCTGTTATATAATAATTGTGTGTTCTTTTATCCCCCCCAGGAGGTGGAAGACACGTCCCCCAATCACTGCTCCACCAGCTTCAAGGTTGTGGTGGTGTCACCTCTGTTTGAAGGGAAACCTCTGCTGCAGAGACATAGGTGAGGAAGAGGAGGATTCTGGGTACTTGTACTGTATGTGTGTATGGGGGGGGGGGGGTGTAGTACAGAGACATAGGTGAGGAAGAGGAGGATTCTGGGTACTGCTTGTACTCTATGTATGTATGGGGGGTGGGGGGGGGGGGTTCGTAGTACAGAGTACACAGGTACAGTATGTATGGCGGGAGGGGGGGGCAGAGGGGTGTATTACAGAGACATAGGTGGGGAAGAGGAGGATTCTGGGTACTTGCACTGTATGTGTGGATGGGGGGGGTGTAGTACAGAGACATAGGTGGGGAAGTGGAGGATTCTGGGTACTTGCACTGTATGTGTGTATGGGGGGGGGGGTGTAGTACAGAGACATAGGTGGGGAAGAGGAGGATTCTGGGTACTGGTACCTTAACCTGTCAGTGGTCATAAAGTTCTGGCTGATTGGTGTATATATATTTGGGGGAGATGTGTCCCCGCTGTGTATCAGACACATTGGGGTCATGGTGTGATGAGCATCGCTGACTCCGCCTCCCTCTTGCAGGCTTGTCAACAGCTGCCTGGCGGACGAGCTGAAGATCATTCACGCCTTTGAACAGAAGACTCTGACGCCAGCTCAGTGGGAGCAGGAAAAGCAGAAGTAAGACCTGACCGCCCCCGCTTACTTACATAACCGTCCTCAGCGGTCCGCCTGCCGCCATTTTTCCGTGGACTGTAGCATTCTGTAGAAGGATGCTGGTCTCACATGGACACTCCCGGGACCATATGGGGATATCTAACCCACTTCAAGGGGAAATGAATACACAATAAATGGAGTCCCTGTCAGAGGTGCCTGATTACTATGATCTGTTCTGTATCACCTTTCCAATCTGCAGCGGTTAGGCTAGCCATGCATGTGACAATCTGATCTACCTTTGTGATCCAACTTTCAATTCTGTTTTTTGTTTCTTTGATTTTTTTTTTTTAATTGAAGAAATGTTTCACAAAACATCTTTTGATTCCATTTTTGGTTGAACTTGAAGTGGCAGGTTTGATCTACAGCAAAGAGATGGGATGTTTGACAGGCCAGAAGACTCCTGGTCAGTCTGGCCCCTGATGACCTAATGCATGATTGACAGGCCAGAAGACCTCTAGTCTGTCCCTCCCACGAGGACCTAACACCATTACTGATAGGCCAGAAAACTCTTGATGTGTCCTGCCCACGAGGACCTAACACCATTACTGATAGGCCAGAAAACTCTTGATGTGTCCCTCCCACGAGGACCTAACACCATTACTGATAGGCCAGAAAACTCTTGATGTGTCCTGCCCACGAGGACCTAACACCATTACTGATAGGCCAGAAAACTCTTGATGTGTCCTGCCCATGAGGGCATAACACCATTACTGATAGGCCAGAAAACTCTTGATGTGTCCTGCCCATGAGGGCATAACACCATTACTGATAGGCCAGAAAACTCTTGATGTGTCCTGCCCACGAGGACCTAACACCATTACTGATATGCCAGAAAACTCTTGATGTGTCCTGCCCACGAGGACCTAACACCATTACTGATAGGCCAGAAAACTCTTGATGTGTCCTGCCCATGAGGGCATAACACCATTATTGATAGGCCAGAAAACTCTTGGATCTGTCTTGCCCATGAGGGCATAACACCATGATTGGTTGAACTTGAAGTGGCAGATTTGATCTACAGCAAAGAGATGGGATCAAAGTTGCCCTGAAAATGTGACCAGTTATGGCAAAATTGACAAATTTGTTTTTGATTTCTGATTTGATCTTTTAGTAAAGGAACCATTCACACAGACGGCTGCCAGCAGAGAGACCAGCCCTATACCATGTTTGACAGGCCAGAAGACTCCTGATGTGTCCTGCCCATGAGGGCATAACACCATGATTGGTTGAACTTGAAGTGGCAGGTTTGATCTACAGCAAAAAGATGGGATGTTTGACAGGCCAGAAGACTCCTGGTCAGTCTGGCCCCTGAGGACCTAATGCATGATTGACAGGCCAGAAGGCTTCTAGTCTGTACCGCCCACGAGGACCTAACACCATTATTGATAAGGCTAGAAAACTCTTGGATCTGTCCTGCCCAGGAGGGGATAACACCGTGATTGGTTGAATTTGAAGTGGCAGGTTTGATCTACAGCAAAGAGATGGGATCAAAGTTGCCCCGAAAATGTGACCGGTTATGGCAAAATTGACAAATTTGTTTTTGATTTCATCTTTTAATAAAGGAACCATTCACACAGACGGCTGCCAGCAGAGAGACCAGCCCTATACCATGTTTGACAGGCTAGAAGGCTCCTGAGGACCTAATGCATGATTGACAGGCCAGAAAGCTTCTAGTCTGTCCCGCCCACGAGGACCTAACACCATTATTGATAGGCCAGAAAACTCTTAATGTGTCCTGCCCAAGAGGGCATAACACCATGATTGGTTGAACTTGAAGTGGCAGGCTTGATCTACAGCAAAAAGATGGGATGTTTGACAGGCCAGAAGACTCCTGGTCAGTCTGGCCCCTGAGGACCTAATGCATGATTGACAGGCCAGAAGACTTCTAGTCTGTCCCGCCCACAAGGCCCTAACACCATTATTGATAAGGCTAGAAAACTCTTGATCTGTCCTGCCCATGAGGGGATAACACCATGATTGGTTGAATTTGAAGTGGCAGGTTTGATCTACAGCAAAGAGATGGGATCAAAGTTGCCCCGAAAATGTGACCGGTTATGGCAAAATTGACAAATTTGTTTTTGATTTCATCTTTTAATAAAGGAACCATTCACACAGACGGCTGCCAGCAGAGAGACCAGCCCTATACCATGTTTGACAGGCTAGAATACTCCTGGTCAGTCTGGCCCCTGAGGACCTAATGCATGATTGACAGGCCAGAAGACTTCTAGTCTGTCCCGCCCACGAGGACCTAACACCATTATTGAAAGGCAAGAAAACTCTTGATGTGTCCTGCCCACGAGGACCTAACACCATTATGGATAGGCCAGAAAACTCTTGATGTGTCCTGCCCATGAGGGCATAACACCATGATTGGTTGAACTTGAAGTGGCAGGTTTGATCTACATCAAAAAGATGGGATGTTTGACAGGCCAGAAGACTTCTAGTCTGTCCCGCCCACGAGGACCTAACACCATTATTGAAAAGCAAGAAAACTCTTGATCTCTCCTGCCCATGAGGGCATAACACCATGATTTATATCAATTATATGAAAATAAATATAACCACAACAATAGCACTCACAAAATATAACAAATTAAATAAATAAAATAAATAATAATGATAATATTAATACTATTCATGCACCACCAAAAAACAATAAAATGTGTGGAAAACAAAACAAATTTAAATAAATTTAAATAATAGATCCTCACTGAAGTCCATTCAATAAAGTCCACATAAAGCATATATGATCTTCAATCAAATGAAGTTATGGAATCTTTAACTTTTTTAACAGTGCTCAACAAGATACTGGGATCTGTGTGAGTTTTCACTTCGATGGGGTGTTGAGCACTGGAATATCTATTGGTGAAAGAAAAGTTAAAGATTCCATAACTTCATTTGATTGAAGATCATATATGCTTTATGTGGACTTTATTGAATGGACTTCAGTGAGGATCTATTATTTAAATTTGTTTTGTTTTCCACACATTTTATTGTTTTTGGTGGTGTATGAATAGTATTATAATTATTTTTTATTTTATTTAATTCATTCTATTTTGTGAGCGCTATTATTGTGGTTATATTTATTTTCACATATTTGATCTATACCTCTGGGTTATTGCTGTATAATAGCAGCTCCTATTTCAAAGAATTTATTCTTTCTCAGTACTACATTCTGAAGGCGCGATGATGTAGGCTTTGGAATATATTGATCTGCTATTAATATAATTTACCAAAGTTTATATTATTTCCATAACACCGTGATTGGTTGAACTTGAAGTGGCAGGTTTGATCTACAGCAAAGAGATGGGATCAAAGTTGCCCCGAAAATGTGAGCGCTTATGGCAAAATCGACACTTTTTTTTTTTTTTTTTTTTTTTTGATTTCTGATTTGATCTTTTACTAAAGGAGCCATTCACACAGACGGCTGCCAGCAGGGAGGCCATCCCTATACATACATTGTGTGGACAGATTGGTACCCTATACAAACCAATGGCCAGCACCACCACTGTTCATGTAACCGCTCCTCCGAGCAGCTAGGGCATCTGACAGACACTTTGGGGGTCATCTACTAAAACCAGAGCATGCAAAATCTGGTGCAGTTCTGCATAGGAAGGAACCAATCAGCTTCCAGATTTTATTGTCAAAACTTAATAGAACAAGCTGATTGGCCGCCACGCAGAGCTGCACCTAATCCTGAGTGCTCCAGTTTTAGTAAGTCGACCCCATTGTGTCCAGGGATGGTGTTTCTGGCTACATACAAACCAACCGTGGCTCATTGTCCATGTATGCTGCCACGGATTGGTGCCAGGAAAGGAATTCTGGTAAGTATTTGATACAATTTTCAATTTCCTTTACAATGACTTCAACGCCCGTTTGCAGCACATCTGTGTCAATGGATGTTCTGTGCAGAGAGCATGCTCCCAGCACTCCAACCAAGCTGTCAGCGACAGTTCCTGGCCGCTGTTTACTGTGGGAGGGGCCCACAATCCTACGATAGCCAATCACAATGGTCGCATAATCTGAAGCTCCGCCTCCCTTTGATCAGAACCCCCTAAAAGGGGCGGTAGCACGGGGTTAAACACAGGACGGTATGTTGTGGTGGTAACGAACTGCCATTCTCAGTGATCCAGCCTGTTTATCATGTGACCTTCCCCTACAGATCTGGATTTACTATTCAAAGTAAAAACATTTTATTCAGTTTGCACAAGGTTATGAATTTTCCAACTCAGATACAGAGCAGACGTGGGATCGTCCGGTGGGCACCACCAGATTCTGGACAGCGGAGTATTTACACCATGATGGACACACCCAATCAGAGCTGTGGGGGAAATCCGCATTTAAAGTGGAGCTCCAGCCAGGGGAAGGGTTTTTATTCTTGTCATTCCTCCATCTTATCCCAATCCGGCAATAAAAACCCAACAGGCAATCAAACCCTTCCCCACTCTATCCAGGACTAAAACATGGGACTTTGTAGGAGTTCTACTTTAAAGGGGCTTCCTGCACCCCCCCCCCCTTATTTCCCAGTACATTGCTAGGGCCCCCGATAACCACACATGAGGGAGAGGCCCACAAAGGGCTTTATTTATCAAAGTTCATGAAATAGGAACTGTCTGTATTGCCAAAAAGCAACCGGTTAAGATGTATTTATTTTTTGGGACCATCTGTAATCCAGGTTGCTGCAGAGACAACATTTTCATGCCAGACGCATACAGGGCCCAATTAAAGAGGAAAGGACTCCGTTATCAGTATTTTAAAGTATTCATTGCCCATAGTAGCCAATGAAATTCTTCCAGCGCACTTTAGAAAACGAAAGAAAAACACTGAGTTATGCAATACAGGCAGTTTTTATTTCAGGCGCTCTGATGAATGGCATTGACAGTGTTGTCCTGCCAATGACGGGGTGGGTGATGTGGTCTGTAGCTATTTGGCGTCTTCCAGCTGTGCGATCCTCTTCTCTTGTTCAGCCACGGTCGCCTTCAGTTGTTTTATATCCTTTAAGAGCTGCTCCAGGGTGCAGTCCTGATAGAAAGAGAAATTCTGAATTATTCTCCAAACTAGCGTGCCGCGTTCAAATGGACAGCAGAGGCAGGAAAGTTGTTCCAAGTCAGTCTCAACAGCTTGGATCCCCCTCCCAGCAGTGACTCAGCAGCTCAGCTCCTGTGGTCTCCCTCCCAGCAGTGAATCAGCTCCTGTGCTCCCCCTCCCAGCAGTGACTCAGCAGCTCAGCCACTGTGCTCCCCCTCCCAGCAGTGACTCAGCCCCTGTGCGCCCCCTCCCAGCAGTGACTCAGCCCCTGTGCGCCCCCTCCCAGCAGTGACTCAGCCCCTGTGCGCCCCCTCCCAGCAGTGACTCAGCCCCTGTGCTCCCCCTCCCAGCAGTGACTCAGCCCCTGTGCTCCCCCTCCCAACAGTGACTCAGCAGCTCAGCAACTGTGCTCCCCTTCCCAACAGTGACTCAGCAGCTCAGCCCCTATGCTACCCCTCCCAGCAGCCACTCAGCAGCTCAGCCCCTGTGCTCCCCCTCTCAGCAGCTCAGCCCCTGTGCTCCCCCTCTCAGCAGCTCAGCCCCTGTGCTCCCCCTCTCAGCAGCTCAGCCCCTGTGCTCCCCCTCTCAGCAGCTCAGCCCCTGTGCTCCCCCTCTCAGCAACTCAGCCCCTGTGCATCCCCTCCCAGCAGCAGCTCAGCCCCTGTGCTCGCCCTCTCAGCAGCTCAGCCCCTGTGCTCGCCCTCTCAGCAGCTCAGCCCCTGTGCTCGCCCTCTCAGCAGCTCAGCCCCTGTGCTCCCGCTCTCAGCAGCTCAGCCCCTGTGCTCCCCCTCCCAGCAGCAGCTCAGCCCCTGTGCTCCCCCTCCCAGCAGCGACCAGCAGCTCAGTTTACCTTGCTCCCTCCTCCCAGCAGCTCAGTTCACCCTGCTCCCCCCTCCCAGCAGCTCAGTTCACCCTGCTCCCCCCTCCCAGCAGCTCAGTTCACCCTGCTCTCTCCTCCCAGGAGCTCAGTTCACCTTGCTTCCTCCTCCCAGCAACTCAGTTCACCCTGCTCTCTCCTCCCAGCAGCTCAGTTCACCCTGCTCTCTCCTCCCAGGAGCTCAGTTCACCCTGCTCCCCCCCTCCCAGCAGCTCAGTTCACCCTGCTCTCTCCTCCCCCAGGAGCTCAGTTCACCTTGCTTCCTCCTCCCAGCAACTCAGTTCACCCTGCTCCCCCCTCCCAGCAGCTCAGTTCACCCTGCTCTCTCCTCCCAGGAGCTCAGTTCACCCTGCTCCCCCCCCTCCCAGCAACTCAGTTCATCCTGCTCTCTCCTCCCAGCAGCTCAGTTTACCCTGCTCCCCCCTCCCAGCAGCTCAGTTCACCTTGCTTCCTCCTCCCAGCAGCTCAGTTCACCCTGCTCCCTCCTCCCAGTAGCTCAGTTCACCCTGCTCCCCCCTCCCAGCAGCTCAGTTCACCCTGCTCCCTCCTCCCAGCAGCTCAGTTCACCCTGCTCCCCCCCCCCCTCCAAGCAGCTCATTTCACCCTGCTCCCCCCTCCCAGCAGCTCAGTTTGCCCTGCTGTCTCCTCCCAGCAGCTCAGTTCACCCCTGCTCCCCCCTCCAAGCAGCTCATTTCACCCTGCTCCCCCCTCCCAGCTGCTCAGTTCACCCGGCTGTCTCCTCCCAACAGCTCAGTTCACCCTGCTGTCTCCTCCCAGCAGCTCGGTTCACCCTGCTCCCTCCTCCCAGCAGCTCAGTTCACCCTGCTCCCCCCTCCAAGCAGCTCAGCTCACCCTGCGGAGTCTTCCCGGGGCCCATGTCATCACTTACCACATTGCCTCCATCGGATGACTGGCTGCGTTTGGGTAGGCGGGTGCTGAGGATATTTTTGGTGACTTTGAGCTCTCTGCTTTTGCTGGGAGTGTATCCGTCCTTCAGTGAGATGAGCAGGGGCTCGGCGTTCTTCCCCGACAACCATTCCTCCGCGGTGAGAGCCGGATCCGGGCCCGCAGTGTCTGGGTACAGGTCCTCCTGAAAGAGGTCCGACTGCAAGAGAGACATCGCTGGTCACATGATGACTGCATGGCTCCTCCCCATCCCATAGCGGGGGCCGCTCTTACCTTCCTGGGCACAGTCATGCCGATCGGCTCACACTTCCTCTCATGCAACTTGTAAAACCTGAAAAGAAAAAAAAAAAAAAAAAAAGATCCAGCTGTAGTTTGCCTGGCTGAACGTCCATAAGCTGACCATACACATTACAACCAGATTGTACAACCTGCTGACAGGTAGTGGGAGGACCTGATTGTTTCGCTGGGGTAACAGAGATACAAGTTTTCTGACCTGGCAACCTCGCACTTGTTGACTTCCAGGCCCCTCTTGGGCATATAGCCCTGCCCCCGCTGGGACTCTTTGCTGCTGTACACCGACAGGTAATGAACGTACGGAGCCTCGTCCGTCACCTCGAAATAGCGGATACTGCTGTCCCCCTGTGAGTAGAAGGAAATGTTATACAATGTAGTGGGCTATACACCCCCCCCAATAAGTAACCAATCACTCCCTACCGACAATATAACCCTCAACAGTCATTAGGACTCCTTTCTCTAATTGAATTGCCTTCCTCTGTCATCTATCCACACACGTTTTACGATGCGACATCCATGCATCCGTCCCGTCCCCCCGCTTCCCTCCATTAGTATTGTACAACCTGTCTCTGGCATCGAGCGTGTCAATGGCTGACGGGTACTGAAACTGCATTATGGGAATTTTAACACCTTGGAAGACCTTGAGCCTGGGTTCACGCTCATGCTTAGTTCACCTTGTTCCCTCCTCCCAGCAGCTCAGCTCACCCTGTTCCCTACTCCCAGCAGCTCAGTTCACCCTGCTCCTCCCCTCCCAGCAGCTCAGTTCACCCTGCTCCCCCCCTCCCAGCAGCTCAGTTCACCCTGCTCCTTCCTCCCAGCAGCTCAGTTCACCCTGCTCCCTCCTCTCTGCAGCTCAGTTCACCCTGCTCCCTCCTCTCTGCAGCTCAGTTCACCCTGCTCCCTCCTCTCTGCAGCTCAGTTCATCCTGCTCCCTCCTCCCAGCAGCTCAGTTCATCCTGCTCCCTCCTCCCAGCAGCTCAGTTTACCCTGCTCCCTCCTCCCAGCAGCTCAGTTTACCCTGCTCCCTCCTCCCAGCAGCTCAGTTCACCCTGCTCCCTCCTCTCTGCAGCTCAGTTCACCCTGCTCCCTCCTCTCTGCAACTCAGTTCACCCTGCTCCCTCCTCCCAGCAACTCAGTTCACCCTGCTCCCTCCTCCCAGCAGCTCAGTTCACCCTGCTCCCTCCTCCCAGCAGCTCAGTTCACCCTGCTCCCTCCTCCCAGCAGCTCAGTTTACCCTGCTCCCTCCTCCCAGCAGCTCAGTTTACCATGCTCCCTCCTCCCAGCAGCTCAGTTCACTCTGCTCCTTCCTCCCAGCAGCTCAGTTCACCTTGCTCCCTCCTCTCTGCAGCTCAGTTCACCCTGCTCCCTCCTCTCTGCAGCTCAGTTCACCCTGCTCCCTCCTCTCTGCAACTCAGTTCACCCTGCTCCCAGCAGCTCAGTTCACCCTGTTCCCTCCTCCCAGCAGCTCAGTTCACCCTGTTCCCTCCTCCCAGCAGCTCCGTTCAACCTGTTCCCTCCTCCCAGCAGCTCAGTTCACCCTGCTCCCTCCTCCCAGCAGCTCAGTTCACCCTGCTCCCTCCTCCCAGCAGCTCAGGTCACCCTGCGGAGTCTTCCCAGCAGCTCAGCTTTTTCTGTGCGAATTCCACACTGCATCACAATCGCACCCTGTTCGTGCCAACCGCCGTCAATTCGCGGGGCAAAAAGGGCTTAAATTTCATTCGGGTGCAGCATTGCATGACTGCGCAATTGTCAGTTAAAGTAGTGCAGTGCTGAATCGCAAAAAAATGGCCTGGTTAGGAAGGGGGGTGGTGAATCCTCCGGAGGGCGAGGGGTTAAAGGTGGAGTTTTCCTCCCAGGTCATTTACCTTGCCGCACAGGTAGACGATGTTGGTGTCGGGGTCGAAGAACGGGATGAGGACCCCACTGCTTGTGTCCAGCTCCTGCAGGGTCAGCGGCTCGTCCAGGGACTTCTGTAAGGAGAGGGATTTAGGTTATGGGAAGGTCACAAAACCTCTCCTAGGATGAGATATCATCAGTCTGCTGCAGGCGGGAGGGAGCACTTCACCTAGGTTCACGTGTGTGCGGCTCTGCAGGTCGCGGTTTGCGTGGACACGGCAGAACATTCATCTGAATAGGCTGCTGTGCCTCCTGAAATGCAGGGAAAAGGTCCCTGCGCCATTTTTGGAATCGCAGTCCGCACGGGAAATGTCATTACAGTGCAGTTCCCAGCGTGGGGCGGCATTAATGTCACCCGCATGCACCTCCCGTGTTCCACTGTGTGGATGGTTGCGGCTGCAGGAACAGGTGTGGATCCCGCGGCAGCAAATCGCCTGCAGAGGTGTGAGCCGAGCCTTCCTCAGTCTCCTCCCAACCAGTGATCAGACTGTACGCTCTTTCTTTGTCGCAAGTCACAGGGTTGGAGGACGCAGCGCGGGGGCTGATCCGTGTCAGGCACTTAGCGCCCGGTCATACTGGATTGAAATCGCATCTAATGAATGTGAATGTTGGCGTCTTAATCTGCGCGATTTGCTGCAGCGACATTTCTAAAGTAGTTCTTGCGCGACTTTTTCTGCAGTTTAAGCAATTTCACATACACAGGTCGCAATACAGTCTTCAGAAATCGCACGACTGTAAATCGCAGTGGTGTGACCGGCGACGACTTAGTGACTGAAGGATAAGCTCACCTTTGGGAACATGTACCAGGGTGGAACATGTACCATGTTCCCATAGCTGCAGCCGCCGCCCATCGACCCCTCCCTCTGACAGGGCAACTTCTCCCCGTACTATCTGTTGGATTTGAAAACAGCGCAGCCGTCAGGGGCTCCGCCCACACAGGTGCGTCATTTATCAATTAACTGCGAGTCCTGACATCCTTAGTGGCTGTGAGCTTGTAGTTTTCAATGAATTACCATGGCACTATGGTAGTTCATTGAAGCTTCCTGCCAGTATATCTGCTTGACCGTACACCCCGTACATCCCCTACACTCCGTACATCCCGTACATTCCCTACACCCCGTACATTCCCTACACCCCGTACATCCCCTACACTCCGTACATCCCTTACAACCCCTATACCCTCGTACATCCCCTACACCCCTTACCTCCCTTACACCCCCTACATCCCATATACCCCGTACATACCCTACAACCCCTACACCCCATACATCCCCTACACCCCGTACATCCCATACATTTCGTACACCCCGTACATTCTGTATACCTCATACAACCCCGTACACCCCATACATCCCCTACACCCTGTACATCCCCTACACCCCATACATCCCCTACAACTCCTATACCCCGTACATCCCCTACACCCCATACATTCCCTACACCCCGTACATCCCCTACACGCATACATCCCTTACAATCCCTACATCCCATACGTCCCCTACATGCGTACATCCCTTACAACTCCTACACCCTGTACATCCCCTACACCCGTACATCCCCTACACGCATACATCCCTTACAATCCCTACACCCCATACGTCCCCTACACGCGTACATCCCTTACAATCCCTACACCCCATACGTCCCCTACACGCGTACATCCCATATACCCCGTACACTCCATACATCCCCTACACCCCATACATCCCCTACACCCCGTACATCCCATACATTTCGTACACCCTGTACATTCCGTATACCTCATACAACCCCGTACACCACATACTACACCCTGTACATCCCCTACACCCCATACATTCCATATATCCCGTACACCCCATACATTTCGTGCACCTTGTACATTCCATACATCCTGTACACACCATACATCCCGTACACCCCCTACATCCCATATGTCCCATACACTCTGTTCATCCCATACGTCCCGTACACCCTATACACCCCCTACATCCCATATGTCCCATACACTCTGTTCATCCCATACGTCCCGTACACCCTATACACCCCCTACATCCCATATGTCCCATACACTCTGTTCACCCCATACATCCCCTACATCTCGTACGGCAAGCAGATATTCTGACAGATCTGCAGAAGACCTGCATAGCATCAGTAATCTACTAACCACTGGTGCAATGTTCTCCAGGTTCCTGCGGACAAAAATAATAATTGCACATTATTTTACCTGCAAACAAAATTGTGCATTTATTATTTTTGTCTAAAAGGTGAATTTATCCTTTAAGAACACAGCCAAGAACTGCCATAATCAGAGGGGGCGGTCTTGTCATATACATGTGTCCACTTACCGTGTCCCATAAGGCCACCTGCCTCTCGCTCATCCGGCTGAATCCAGTGGTCAGGATTTTATCATCGGCCACAAAGATGGCCCGGACCGGTCTGCTGCCCTCATGGGGCTTATCCTTCTCCTGCAGAGACAAACACAATACGGGGACATGAGCCTCTTCTAGGCAACTTAAAGCAGAAACTTAATTAGCTTGTTTTTTCCCTTGGTTCCTGCCTCCCCCCTCATCTTCAATTTTTTTTTCGTTTCCATTACATACCCTATTTTAGTCTCAGTGATATCATCACTGGTTCTCTGTGCTTCTCTATGCAAGCAGAACATGACTGGTGGGAGGGGCCAGCGGGGTGCTGTACATAGCTTCTTTAAAACATCACAGCACTCTGTCCCAGTTCTCCTTTCCAGAACCCTCAGCCCTGATGGAAGCAGTGGGATGAGTTTTGCAAATATCAAAATGCCTCGGTGAGTGGGAATCAGTCTGGAGGAGTGGGTGTTCCTAGGCAGGCATTTGATACAGACCACCCTAGGTAACGGCCACATGTGCTGCTGGGCCTTCCTGATTGAAAGAACTGAAATCCAATGAATGAAAGGGGCGGGGTCAGGGATAGGATGGGAAGGAAAGAGCTAGTTGATGCTGGATGTCCTCCAGCCAGGAAAGAGACGGGCTGGTAGCTTTGGTTGCGGACATCCCCTTCTAAAAACAAAAAAGAAAAGTATCTTTTATTTCTTTTCTTTGTTGTAAATTATATTTTCTTTTCTTTTTGGGCCACTAGGTGGGGCTGTAGGCTCATGTCTACCACTCTTACCATGGCCATGCTGTTGGAAAAAAGGTTTGCAGAGCTCAATAGCTCAAAGAAAAGTGCTAATCTGAGCAGTCCCCCCGCCACTCTGAGATTTGTTTTCTGAATTCTGCAAATAACCTGGTTGATCCTGCTGTTCTTTGTCTTCCTCTCCTGTTCATGTCCCCAGTACAGTTGGTGATTTTGCAGAGCAGTGGTGGCAGCTCTGCACATGCTCAGTTTTCAGCGAGTTTCTATGCTGAGTATTTCCTCCCTATCACATCAGAGCCACCCATGTGACTACAGAGTCACCCATGTGGGCGTTATACACAGTATGACAGCCCACTGCCTCTGGAGAAGGGGACATGCCACTCGAAGCTTCTTCATAGCTCTGGAGAAGGGGACATGCCACTCGAAGCTTCTTCATAGCTCTGGAGAAGGGGACATGCCCCCCGAAGCTTCTTCATAGCTCTGGAGAAGGGAACATGCCCCCCGAAGCTTCTTCATAGCTCTGGAGAAGGGGGCATGCCCCCCGAAGCTTCTTCATAGCTCTGGAGAAGGGGACATGCCCCCCGAAGCTTCTTCATAGCTCTGGAGAAGGGGGCATGCCACTCGAAGCTTCTTCATAGATCTGGAGAAGGCAGCATGCCCCCCGAAGCTTCATAGCTCTGGAGAAGGGGGCATGCCCCCCAAAGCTTCTTCATAGCTCTGGAGAAGGCAGCATGCCCCCCGAAGCTTCTTCATAGCTCTGGAGAAGGGGGCATGCCCCCCGAAGCTTCTTCATAGCTCTGGAGAAGGGAGCATGCCCCCCGAAGCTTCTTCATAGCTCTGGAGAAGGGGGCATGCCCCTCAAAGCTTCTTCATAGCTCTGGAGAAGGGGACATGCCCCTCGAAGCCTCTTCATAGATCTGGAGACGGGGATATGCCACTCGAAGCTTCTTCATAGCTCTGGAGAAGGGAACATGCCCCCCGAAGCTTCTTCATAGCTCTGGAGAAGGGGACATGCCCCTCAAAGCTTCTTCATAGCTCTGGAGAAGGGGACATGCCTCACAAAGCTTCTTCATAACTCTGGAGACGGGGATATGCCCCTCGAAGCTTCTTCATAGATCTGGAGAAGGGAACATGCCCCCCGAAGCTTCTTCATAACTCTGGAGACGGGGATATGCCCCTCGAAGCTTCTTCATAGATCTGGAGAAGGGAACATGCCGCCCGAAGCTTCTTCATAGCTCTGGAGACGGGGATATGTGTCTTAGATTTTAATTTCCAAAAATGCCCTGAGGTTACCTTAATGTAAAACAAGATCTGATTGGTTGCCTATCATCCCTGTCTGTGATTCTGCCATATAGAATAAGCTCCATATGCGTTGCTGAGGTCATCAGCACAAATTTTTGCAGACGTACCGCTACAATGGTACCGGCTCTGGGTTCCATGACTCTAATTTTTTTGTCTTTACATGAGCTGCAGATGAGACTGCCGTCCCGGTTCCAGGCCACGCTGTATATGAGGTCCGTATGTGTCTCATCTATGGAGATGACGGACTGCCCGCAGCCCACGTCCCAGATCAAGATGACATTGTCACAACCTGGTGAAGGAACAGCAAAGATTAAAAATTAGTCAGGCTACCTGGGATGGGTATAGAGCAAAAGAAGGCCTTTCTTGGAGAGCATGATGCTCCAGTCTCCCTCCAGTGCTGCTTCCAAACCCCAGATATTTGGTCATATGATCTCTGCTGGAGGGGAAGACTTGGGAAATCTGATCTCTGATCTTCCCCTTCAAAAGAGAACATAGGGCAAAACACCTAGACTATAGAAACAGCAGTAGAGGGAGCTAAATGAAGCTTTATCTCCAGGAAGCCAAAAAGAAATGATGCTGCTTTTTAGGCTTGAAATTGCTCAGAATGACTATAATAAGAGTGGCCACCCCTGCCCACTTCTCCCTTTATTGATCCTTACAAATTGACAGTATATTTTTCATTCCCATTGATGATCACCAAATCAAGGAGGACATAATGATGACATGGCTTTTGTTAATAAATATAAGTCAGATGACCAATAGGTTCTAGCTTGACCTGGTGGTCACCAGTGGTTTGTTAGTAAACCAAAAGCCATATGATTGAGATCACATGGCTTTCTTTATCAACAAAGCTATTGATGATCACCAGATCAAGGAGGATATAATGATCCCCACGGCTTTTGTTAATAAATATAAGTCAGATCACCAATAGGTTCTAGCTTGACCTGGTGGTCACCAGTGGTTTGTTAGTAAACCAACAGCCATATGACTGAGATCACATGGCTTTCTTTATCAACAAAGCCATTGATGATCACCAGTTCAAGGAGGACAGAATGATCCCATGGCTTTTATTAATAAATATAAGTCAGATGACCAATAGGTTCTATCTTGACCTGGTGGTCACCAGTGGTTTGTTAGTAAACCAACAGCCATATGATTGAGATCACATGACTTTCTTTATCAACAAAGCCATTGATGATCACCAGATCAAGGAGGATATAATGATCCCATGGCTTTTGTTAATAAATATAAGTCAGATGACCAATAGGTTCTAGCTCGACCTGGTGGTCACCAGTGGTTTGTTAGTAAACCAAACGCCATGTGGCTGAGATCACATGGCGTTCTTTATCAACAAAGCCATTGATGATCACCAGATCAAGGAGGACAGAATGATCACATGGCTTTTGTTAATAAACATAAGTCAGGGGACCATTAAGTCCCGGCTTCACTTAATAGTCATCAATAGTTTTTATTGCCTTAATATGGCTTTGTTTATAAACAAAGCCATGTTACACATAGTGATCAGTTCTTTTTTCTGGGTCTTTTTTGAAGATTTTCGTGATATTTTGGACATATCTAAATCATTTCATCAATAACGATGGCTATAGACTATATCCTGAAATAAGCAAACAGAGACAATCGAACCATCTTTGCAATATGGAGTTTATCATGTTGTTGAAATCAATTGTTATCACAGAGAAACTTTCTGGTCTGTTGGAAGATCTGCCTATAAGTGATATACAACTCTTCCCTTCGAAGGGGTAAAGTGAAGTATTTATGTTTGGTTCTGGCCGGGACGAGACAAGAAGATAACCTCGCAAGCCAAAGATACCCAAATGAATCTTCTCCTTTCTTAATAAATCCTTTCTTTAGTTTTTGGTTTTTACCTGCACTCAGCAATATATTCTGGGCGGTCGGGTGCCAGAGGACAATTCCCACCCGCTTAGTGTGCCCTTCCAAGGTGACAATGGGTTCTGTGAGTGAGCGGGTCAGACCTCCATCTGGAATCTCCCACACCTGAAGGACAGAAGGAGACATTGGCACTGGTGAACACACACAACATAAAGGAGATGAAATACAAATCCAATTCCAAACAATTTGGGGCACTGTGTAAAATCTACATAAAAATATAAAATGCAATGATTTGCAAAGGTCATAAACTCATATTTTATTCACAATAGAAAATAAAAAAACATATCAAATGTTTAAAATGAGATAATGTACCATTTTAGGGGAAAAAAAGGTTGTGTTGAAATTGATGGCAGCAACAAGTCTCAAAAAAGTTGGGGGGGGGCAACTAAAAGCTGGCCAAGTAACAAGGAAGAGCTGGAAGAACATTGTGCAAGTAATTAGGTTCATTGGCAACAGGTCAGGACATGATGGGGTATAAAAAGAGCATTTTAGAGAGATAGAAGTAAAGATGGGCAGAGGGTCACCGATCTGTGAAAAGCTGCGTATAAAATTTGTTGAATAATTTCAAAATAAAGTTCCTTGCCTACAGTACAAAAATATAATCAAACGATTCCGAGAATCTGGAGAAATCTCTGTGCGCAAAGGACAAGGCCTAAACCGAATATGGTGACACTGTACTACTTGTGCGGGGTGATGAAGATTTTTTTTTTTTTACACTGATTGCTTTTACACCCATAAAGGCTGTAAAAGCAATCATTTCTCCTTCTCTCTGGCTGCATTCTTGCAGCCATTGAGAAATACTGTGATAGCTGTGATTGGTCACAGCTTGTCACATGGTACAAGGCTGTTGTGAATAGCCCTGTACCATGTGATCTCTGTGATCATTCACAGATTTCACACGTAGTAAGCAATGATGTCAGAAGTGACATCTTGCTTACTACTATTCATGTGATCACTGATTCGCAAATCAGTGATCACATGATCAAGACCTCGCACAGATGTCCCATACAGCGATCGGTGTTCCTAGGACAAAGAACATTGTCAGCAAATCCCTCCATTGTGTCAAGGGATTTGCTGACTATTATGAAAAAACATTTCCAAGCAGAAACTTTCACACACATAGGATTCTCCCCTTGACACCATGGATGGAAATTTTACTTGATTCAGGCCACTCCTTTATTCTGGTTTTAGCTTTGGCTGCCAATGTGCATATTGTCTGTGAAACGGTTGTTTAGAGTCCTGTGTGGCACACGGCCTCCCTGTTCCGGATCTTACCATGACGCTGCAGTCTTCCGAGCCACTGGCAATGACATTATCGTTGTGGGGGCACCAATCGATGTCCAGCACTGCGGCCGTGTGACCACAGACCTGGGGCTGCGACTTATCCAGGCGACCCGTCTGCAGAGAGAAGACACAAGGGTGACATTATTATTTTCAGTTACATATCCGGTAGGTTAGCCTTTCTCAACCAGGGTTCATCTAAAGGTTTCTAGGGGTTCCTTCAGCAGTGAGTACCAAATAATTAAGTTCCCATTTATACAGGCCATCAATGTAAGGGGGCACGTTTTCCCTAATGCCCAATGTAAGGGGGGCCCTTTTTCACTGACCACCAATGTAATGGGGAGGCCTTTACTGACCACCAATGTAAGGTGGGGCCTTCTTCACTGACCACCGATGTAAGGTGGGGCCTTCTTCACTGACCACCAATGTAAGGGGACCCTTCTTCACTGACCACCAATGTAAGGAGACCCTTCTTCACTGACCACCAATGTAAGGGGACCCTTCTTCACTGACCACAAATGTAAGGGAACCCTTCTTTACTGACCACCAATGCAAGGTGGGGCCTTCTTCACTGACCACAAATGTAAGGGAACCCTTCTTCACTGACCACCAATGTAAGGTGGGGCCTTCTTCGCTGACCACAAATGTAAGGGGACCCTTCTTCACTGACCACCAATGTAAGGGGAGCCTTCTTCACTGACCACCAATGTAAGGTGGGGCCTTCTTCACTGACCACAAATGTAATGGGGGGCTTCTTTACTGACTAATAATATAAGGGGGGCTGTACTTCATTGGCCACCAATGTAAGGGGACCCTTCTTTACTGACCACCAATGTAAGGGGGCCTTCTTTACTGATCAGAAATGTAAGGGGACCCTTCTTTGCTGACCATCAGTGTAAGGGAACCCTTCATCACTGGCCATCAATGTGAGGGGGTGCCTTCTTCACTCGCCACCAATGTAAAGTGGGGCCTTCTTCACTAACCACCAATGTAAGGGGACCCTTCTTTACTGACCACCAATGTAAGGGGGGCCCTTCTTCACTGTCCAGCAATGTAAGGGGGCCCTTCTTCACTGTCCAGCAATGTAAGGGGACCCTTCTTCACTGACCACCAATGTAAGGGAACCCTTCTTCACTGACCACCAATGTAAGGGAACCCTTCTTTACTGTCCACCAATGTAATGGGAGGCTTTCTTTACTGACCACCAATGTAAGGGGAACCATCTTTACTGATCATCAGTGTGGGGCCCTTCTCACCACCATTGTAAGGGGACCCTTCTCCACTGACCATCAATGTAAGGGGTCACTTCTCCACTGACCATCAATGTAAGGGGTCACTTCTCCAATGATCAATAATATAAGGGTACTATTCATTCTATGACCTTGTGACACCCATTACCTCTCATTTCTTGTCTAAGTAACCTTTTCTCTTTTACTTTTTTCTCCTTATGACACCCGTTCCCCCTCATTTCATGTCCCTGGTGACACACGTTCCCCTCAGTTTATGTCCTGGTGACACATGTTCCCCTCAGTTTATGTCCTGGTGACACTCATTCATTCTCATTTCTTTTCCTGGTGACACCCGTTCCCACCATTTCGAATCCTGGTGACATTTGTCCTCTCCTCATTTCATATCCTAGTGACACCAGATCACCCTCATTTCTTTTGTTGGTGACACCAGATCTTCCTCATCCCTTGTGTTGGTGACACCCGTTTCCCCTCATTTTACGTCTTGATGACACCCATTCCCTTTCATTTCTTATCTTGGTGACACCCATTCCCTTCATTTCTTGTCTTGGTGACAACTATTCCCCATCATTTCTTGTGTTGGTTTTTACTGGCACCATAGACATGAGCCCTTCTCTGGTCGGTTTTGGTGCTAATTGTATACAAACTGATCCTTTTGCTGGCCACACACATTACAATTGTTTCAATTTCTATCATTTACTTTTTATTACAGTCGTCTGTTCTTCACAATATCTTTTCTCGCCTTTTTTAATTACATTCAATCTTTTTTTTTAACTAAATTGATGGATAAAATATTCTCATTCGATCCCAACGCAAAGAAAAATGGTTTGTCGCAGACACATTATGGATGCCAATCCAAAGTGGACGCACGAGCGCACAACACACATTACAACTGAATCCAACAGAACATCTGATCAGTAATCCTTTGATCCGACCAGAAATCCTGACCACACTTGACCGAACATTCTTTGATACGTTTTTAAAAAAAACAATTGCATAAAATAGGACCAGAAGGAAAAATCAGAGCCACCGCGGCCAATCAGATCGCTCGTTTCTTCTCGCCCAGTGCAGCTCAGAGACTGACGTTTGAATCTTGGGGCCTTGCTTCAGTTTTTAGAGATCCTTCCGGCAGTTGTGCAATGCCCTATAGGGGAAGTGTGAGGGGCCCGGCTGGGCCTGCGACAGAGGTGCGATGTTGTCACACGCGTGTTTCACGCTGGCCCCGCCCCCTCATTACAGAAGGTAAAGCGGCAGAAGACTTACATCACCAAATAAGGACATGACTACAGTGCGGAGTCACACTTCCCTTATTACGGAAACACTCAGATCTGCTGATAACATTGCCGCACACAGAGAAGAAGAAAAAAAGCGCGCCAGACCTGAAAATACAAATGTGACACCTTGAGAAAGAGATCCGAGTGTCATCTGTCACCAACGTTCCCACAACTGAGCAGAAAGTGACATCTGACTTGTCTGACTTAGCTGTGCAGTCCATTACATGAAATGAGAGGGAACGGGTGTCACCAGGGACATGAAATGAGGGGGAACGGGTGTCACCAGGGACATGAAATGAGGGGGAACGGGTGTCACCAGGGACATGAAATGAGGGGGAATGGGTGTCACCAGGGACATGAAATGAGGGGGAACGGGTGTCACCAGGGACATGAAATGAGAGGGAACGGGTGTCACCAGGGACATGAAATGAGAGGGAACGGGTGTCACCAGGGACATGAAATGAGGGGGAACGGGTGTCACCAGGGACATGAAATGAGGGGGAACGGGTGTCACCAGGGACATGAAATGAGGGGGAACGGGTGTCACCAGGGACATGAAATGAGGGGGAACGGGTGTCACCGGGGACATGAAATGAGGGGGAACGGGTGTCACCGGGGACATGAAATGAGGGGGAACGAGTGTCACCAAGGCAAGAAATTGGGGGCAATGGGTGTCACCAGCGACATGAAATGAGGAGGAACGGGTGTCACCAGCGACATGAAATGAGGGGGAACGGGTGTCACCAAGGCAAGAACTGAGGGGGAATGGGTGTCACCAGGGACATGAAATGAGGGGGAACAGGTGTCATCAAGGCAAGAAATGGGGGGCAATAGGTGTCACCAGGGACATGAAATGAGGGAAAACGGGTGTCACCAGGGACATGAAATGAGGGGGAATGGGTGTCACCAGGGACATGAAATGAGGGAGAATAAGTGTCACCAAGGCAACAAATGAGGGGGAAGGGGTGTTACCAGGAATAGACATGGGGGGAACAGATGTCACTAAGACAAGAAATGAGGGGGAACAGGTGTCACTGGACTTGAAATGAGGGGGAACGGGTGTCACCAAGGCAAGAAATGAGGGGAAATGGGTGTCACCAGGACGACATGTAGGGAATAGGTTTCACCAAGACAAGAAATGAGCAGCAACAGGTGTCACCAGATTTGAAATGAGGGATAACAGGTGTCACCAGGACTAGAATGAGCAGGAACAGGTGTGACCAGGATTAGAAATGAGGGGGAATAGGTGTCACCAAGGCAACAAATTAGGGTGAACAAGTGTCTCCAGGGACATGAAATGAAGGGGAATGGGTGGCACCAGGACTAGAATGATCAGGAACGGGTGTGACCAGGATTAGAAATGAAGGGGATCAGATGTCACCAAGGCAAGAAATGAGAGGGAAGGAGTGTCACCAGGACTAGACATGGGGGGAACAGGTGTCACCAAGACAAGAAATGAGGGGGAACAGGTGTCATCAAACTTGAAATGATGGGGAATGGGTGTCACCAGAACTTTCTATGAATGTGCTTTGATACAGCACTTTGGGAACATCCAACTTCTTTTGCAATTCCCTTTTGAGGCTTTCCCTCCTTATGGAGGGTGTCAGTGATGGTGTCAGGTCAGCAGTCTTTCCCATGATTGGGATTCCTACTGAACCAGACTGAGAGACCATTTAAAGGCTCGGGAACCCTTTGCAGGTGTTATGGCTGAATGAACTGATTAGAGTGGGACACTTTGAGCCGAGAATATTCCACCTTTTCACAATATTCTCATTTTCTGAGATTGTGGATTTGGGGTTTTCATGAGCTGTAAGCCATAATCATCACAATGATGACAAATCACGGCTTGAACTATCTCGCTTTGCATGTAATGAGTCTATCTCATATATTAGTTTTCACCTTTTAAGTTGCTGCACTGAAATAAATGAACTTTTGCCCGATATTCTAATTTTTTCGAGTTTCACCTGTAGTTCATCTACCTTCAGTTGGGTCTGTACAAGCACCTCACAGCCAAGCCTTTCTCCAGTAGGGAGCCCCTATGGACTGGACTTCTGGCCCCCTTGCCACTTCTCGCACTGTGCTACATTTCAAGGTTACCTAAACCACAGGTGTAAAGGAATCCTTCTTGTCCTCCTGGCCTTTATCAGGTTACATATGAAGGAAAGTCAAACCAGATGAATACAGTTCACTTTGGTTAACGTTTCCTCCAATCAAGTCCTCAGTGTGAAGGAGTAGTACCAAGGGCGGACTGACCATTTGGAAACTCAGGCACTGCCCGAGGGCCCGGGGTCAGTAGGGGGGCCCATGAGATGCCCCTGGTACCTTTTTCATAGGCTTTTTTGAATTTGGGCAAGAACACAGGGGCCCCATGATCCCCTATTGCCCGGGGGCCCCATGAGTTGTCAGTCCGCCCCTGAGTAGTACTTTGGCCCGTGAAATGCGTTGAATGTTTTATATGTTACAAATAATAAAAAGCATCCTGAACTCTAGAAATAAAAACCCGAGAGGGTGTCTAGTCTTTAACTACTCTAATCTCCTAGATTGTAAGCTCCCAGGATCAGCCCTCCTGTCCCTCTTGTATTGAACTGTATTGTTG